TTCAGATACTCGTTCAGATTATTGATTATTGAGGTGGTGATCGCGGAGGGAGCCCGAAGAAGCAGTGGGCATTGTTTCTATCTTCCCCACTCTAAAGTCTTTCCTCCCTCTCATCTATCTCGTCTGTGTATGTCCCCTCTTCTCTTGGGTATCTGGACACGAATACGATTATTGATAATCATCAGCTGGTTGACACTCATTTGGACTTGCATTTTTGACAACTGTCTTCACAATCTGGGTTCATTGCATTTTTCATATCTTCACCTTATATTTTCTGTTCTCTTATGTGTGTGTGTGTGTGTGTGTGTGTGTGTGTGTGTGTGTGCGTGTGTGTGTGTGTGTGTGTGCGTGTGTGCGTGTGTGTGTGCTGCTTTCAAATCTTGTACAATGTTGGGTTTTCTTTGCTCGCTGATGTGTTTCATGTAGCAGGCTCTTGCTCAGAGGGAAGAGGCGGTCAGAAATGGAAGACTCACTGTATCCTCCCTGGAATGAATTAGAGACTCTGTTAAATTCGTTGAGTTATGTGGTACATACAGTCAAACAATTGGGCCTTCCACTTCCTAACCATATAACCTCCCCTCCACACCTGCACTCCCTCCCATGATCGTCCTCCTAAGAAATGCATAGTCGTAGGGCCCGGTAGGGGCCAACTCTTATGGGAGGCATTCCAAGAATTTTCGGCCGCTGATATATCTGAGCACAATGGATTTCAAAGTCTCACTCTGTATCAGCGGTCAAGTCTTTTTGCTGTGTGGACAAGGACAAAGTTCATTGAACGGGCAGCCCCTTGATTCAAGGGATATTGTTGGAGATAACTGGCACTTCCGGGAATCTAATACTGTTCCCTCTCTCTGGAAACAAAGGGGAAAAAAACTGGCAACTAATTCGGTACTAATTAGTAATTAGTAATCCGGAACCAACCCCGCAATTCAGTGCTGGACTTCCTAGGCAAACCCTGCACTTTGCCATGCAGGGGGTCACTCTCAACGGAAGACCTTAAGATTTAAACCACCAGTTCAGGACGGACCATTTTCACCGGAGGACATTCTTCCCATGTAGTGCCAAGGAACTGTGTCCTTCCCAACAGCTATATCTGACTGTGCCATTACTTTATGTCACTGTTCAGCTAGTACTAAAACATCAACTCCAAGTGTAAGGGGCCGACCCCATTGGCGATATGTCCATGCTTGGAAATCGTGAACCTCGCCGTAAGCAGCGCGATTCGCGCTTTCCTAACATGAACATAAAACCAGTGTGGAGCCTGGCCTTTAAACCACCAGTACTCCACCCAGCTATCAGCTGCGAAAAAACTAGAGTAGAAACGGTTCTAGTTGGATGAATTTGGGCACTTCTGTAGTGGCCCGTATGTTTCCTAAAGTCATGGCTTGTTTACGAGCAAAACTTTAGGAAGTACTGGTGGTTTAAGTGGTGGTAATACGCTAATAGGCAGATTGAACTTTCACCCGCTTACTTGACATTTGAACGTACTGAACAACAGTGGTCTTCCATTTAATATGCCAACGTGCTTGCTAGGTCATTACAGCGTATCTTGCGAGTACATGCATTCTGCTCTTTGGAAGATGATATGCTAGCCTTCCACCACCCCAATTTCATTTTTTGCTCATCCCCCACCCAATTTGGATTTTTTGTCGAGTGCTCAGGGAATAGTACCATGCCGTTTCGTACTTCAAAGTCCACAAGGGTTTGCCATACTTCAAACCAGGGTTTTGTAACAGGATCCGGGTCTGATTCTGATTGTGATTGTGATTGTGATTCCGATTATGATTATGATTATGATTCATTGCGAAAAAGAAAGAGTCCTTAACAAGGAATACATTTTGCAATGTTTACATTGTTTTCGGTGAACTTCAATCTGGATTTTCTCTCAAAATGCAGACAATCGTTTTCATCCGGGACTTCAATTCTAGAGGGCAGGAGGTGTGTTCCATCTTACTTTACATCCTTGAACTATCATTCATAGTTAGAAATGTCGAAACTTGAAGGGGATGGAGTCCAGGAAAAACTGCAAGCACTGCAATATGGAGCATGGGAAGACTGCAAAGTTGCGCTATTATAACCTAAGGATTGGTAGACTGGGTGTCAGATTTTGTTGCTTACTTTGGCATGTGTAATGTAATGTCCTTATTGGGTGTATCTTGCGCATCTATCATCATGGTGAGGTTGTGATCTGCCATCCAGCTTCTCTCTCTCTCTCTCTCTCTCTCTCTCTCTCTCTCTCTCTCTCTCTCTCTCTCTCTCTCTCTCTCTCTCTCTCTCTCTCTCT